TCCCCTTCGGGGGGCCAAAAAAAAATTAATTACGTTTATGCTCTTTACTTTTAAAGATTCAGTGTATTACATCTGCCCAGAAGTACAATGTGGAAAATGTTCTAGCCACATCTATTCATGCAAATACAACTCATCGTTAAGAGTGATAGTACAGAAAACAATTTACTAACATCTAGTATCATGTTGAATTCTTGACTTTGCCTATTAGCATTATAAGAGCATAAGACTGTAAGAAACGCTATGTTGAATCATGCCATGGCTCATCCACTCTAACACTTTGTGTCACATTGCCCCCCCAGACAGAAGAAATAGTCAGACAACAAGGTTGGATGAAATAAGGCCATTTTATTAAAATATTAACTTAACGGCAAAGGGCAAACATGAAAACAGTGGCACGGCAAGGCCTGGTGTCGCTTTGACCCACATCCTTAACTGTATAAATGGCAAGACACCACGTATAAACGGCAAGACTTCAAAATTTCCAAGTAGATCAATCACTCCAGCTTAGGTTTGGCACCAGTTGTCACTGGTACATTGGTACGGTTGGAATCGACTTTCCTAATTCTCCATGAAATACTTTGTATGTCAGTATTTGGGACAGTGTATAAATGTTGCCATTACAGAAGTATAAAGCACATGGACTTTTTGTAAACAGACATTTCATTACTTTAAATATATTCTTTATAGTAATGTCATGTATTATTTTTATTGTTTGGGAATTTGTTTTGGCTTTTCATTTTCCCCACCTGATGCCCAAAGCTGAAAATGTTTGTTTCAATTCAAATGGAGCATGATCTACACAGGTCGGTGGCTAAGGTGGAGCTGTTGTTGACATATACTGACATAGTACTGATTTTGTCAGCATATGTCAACAGCAGCACCACACTTAGCCATCAGCACTGAACTCGGTGACTAATTTCAAATTAAAGGTAACTCAACAAGGCAATACATGAAGTTCTTTGTTCGTGAAGTTATTCTGTGCACAGCAGATTCAATTTCAAATGACTTGCCTATAAAAATGAAACCATGCAAAAATTCACAATTTAATGTAGAAGACGAAAACAGGCTCCATACATTCAAGAGACGCTTACTCGTTCCAGCACAATATTGTCAGTTCCACTAGGTTGCACCAACTACACTGCTCTTCAGTAACAGTGTTTGTATCTTTATGTGTCCTGATTTCAGATTTCTCACATCACTCATATTATTTACCTACTTTTTTGGACACACTGAAAAACTCTTCATTCAGCAACTGACTCTTCTTATAGATTGCATTCCTGACAGCGGCCTTCACTTCTGCATTTCTGATTGTGTAAATGAAAGGGTTCAACATTGGAATGAGAGAAGTGTTCAGCACCGCAAGAACCCTGGTTAAGCGAGACGAGGAACGCAGTGTGGGCCTCACATACATGACCACCAGTGCTCCATACAATATAGACACCACAGTCAGGTGAGATGTACAGGTGGAGAAAGCCTTCTTGCGTCCAACAGCTGAAGGAATGTGCATTATGGTAGAGATGATATAGATGTACGAGACTATGGTAAAGATCAAGGTCAAAATAATAATTACAACAGCGCTGAGCAATCCCAGAAGCTCACTGAGGCGAGTGTCAGTACACGAAAGGCTGAACATGGGTGCAGCATCACAGAAGAAATGATCAACAACATTGGAAGCACAGAAAGACATCCTCCATACAAGGAGGCATTGGAAAAACATGACTATGAATGATGAGTACCAAGTGGCCAAGGACAACTGAATGCAGACATTCTTGGTCATAATCATTGGGTATTGGAGTGGTTTGCATATTGCTAAATACCGGTCGAAGGACATCACTGTAAGGATTAAAAGCTCTGTGCCTCCAAATGTGAAGTGGAAGAAGTTCTGAGCCATGCAGCAATGGAAACAAATTGTGGTCCGTGTCTGTAGCAGTGTTTGTAGCAGCTTAGGTACTACAGTTGTGGTGTAGCAGATCTCCAAAAAAGCCAAGTTGCTCAGGAAGAAGTACATGGGAGTCTGAAGTCTTGGCTCAATGGCGACAATGACAAGGATAAATCCATTCCCCAGGATAGATACGACATATATGAATAAACCTGTGACAAAGAACATCCTATGTAGATCATAGAGAAACGGAATCCCCACTAGGATAAATTCAGTCACAGCTGATGCATTCATCCTGACCTCGGTGACTGTAAAATACCAACTAACCCTCTCAAATGGCTGAGAGGGCAGACCAACAAAACGGCCTAACTTTGTGTGTTAATGGCACAAATTATTTATGCCAGCAGTTACAGAGAAGTACAGCAGTCAGAATGTTGGGCTAGAAGTTGGGAAATTTAGAGACAGGTACAGTCTTGTCCTTGACACTGATTGGGTGATGCTGGGAAGACACCCATCCTGTAAAACCCCCCCTATAAATAGCTATCAAGGAAGGGGGGGAATCCTTTAGGAAAGTCTCTGTTGTCAACCAGCTTAAAAATTCCATTGTGCTATCAACAAAAATTATTTGTCCTTTAGAAGATAGTTAGGGTTGCCAGGTCTGGATTGAAAAATACTAGAAGACTTTTGGGGGTGGATCCAGGAGAGTTTTGGGGAGAAGAGGGGTCTCAGCATGTTACACTGCCATAGAGTTCGCCCTTCAAAGCAGCCATTTTCTCCAGGGGAGCTGATCTCTGTCAGCTGAAGATCAGTTGTAAAAGCAGGAGATCTTCAGGTCCCACCTGGAAGCTGGCAATCCTAAAGACAGTTCAGATCTGTTTTAATGAATCGAAGGCATTCTCGATTGTACCCAGTATGGACCTTTGTTTGTCTTGAAGGTGCCAACTGGACTCAAACGTCATTCTCACATCTACATGTAAACGGTTGTATTTGTATGCTAATCTGGCCTTCATCCAAACTCAGCAATAATCACCCAGTTCTTATGAATCTTGACTCTAACGGGTCCTTCCTGACAATCCCCCACCCCCTATATGTAATGGTTGAGGAGATTTTCTTCTGTATCTCATGAAGTGCGTTTGCACACAAAAACTTATACCTTGAATTAAACTGATTGCCACTGGACCCAAACTTTGTTCTGTTGCTTCAGTCCAACATGGCTACCCACCTGAATCTATGTTCAAAGGATAGTTACTCCCTTGGTCCAACAGTAAAAAATTGTATGGAATGATTCACTAACAAGGATTGTTAGAGATGATTGTCTTTTTACAAGGAGATTTTGTCTAATTTCCTATAGGTTTTTTTAAAAATCAATTTTTAGGCCACCCTTCCTTACAAGCAAGACTCAGGTTCGCTTACGACAAAAAAAGGATGCATAATAATTAAAAACACAATACATACAGCCAGTGTTCCCTCTAAGCTGAGTTAGTGTGAGCTAGCTCACAGTTTTTTAGCCTCCAGCTCACACATTTTTGCCTTAGCTCAGGAAGGATGGCTCCAGAGCCAACTAATTTATGCAGTGGCCCAATCACCTGCTCACAACTTTAATGCCAGGAGCTCACAAAGTAGAATTTTTGCTCACAGGACTCCAGAGCTTAGAGGGAACACTGCATACAGCACCAGTAATTCATCAGCATAATTTAGTCATTCCAAGATGGTGGGCGAGAAAATTCAAATTTCACTGGCCGGGGGGTGGGTGGGTTGGGTTTGCAGAGAATGGAGGGTAGGAGTGTGCCAGACTACATACTGCACTGTCGCTGACCGCAACCAAAAGCCTGGCAGAACATTTCTGCTATACATGCCCTGAGGAAAGGTAACAAATCCTGTGTGACGTACTAATCCTTACTAGCCGTGTGATGTACTAATCCAGGCAAAATATGATTATATGTAGCACTTCCTTTGTTTTCAGCACACCCGGAGAAAATCATGGCTTTTGACCAATGATTGGTTTTCAAGAAGTGTGCCTTGCACAAGAAGGTCATACCTTGAATAAAAGTTTGTTGGCCTTAGAGGTGCCACTGGGCTCAGACTTTGTCCGGCTGTTTCAGATCAACATAGCTGCCCACCTAGACTCCTGATTCCATTCGATGTAATTGTTCCAAAACTAATTCTGTATCCTTGGCACAGGGGGGGCAGGAAGATAGACTCTTCTGTATCAATCCAGGTATTTGTAGAAACATTATGTAGTTCCTTTGGTCTTCTAAGCATCCAGGTTGTCTGAAGTATTCCTGATGAGAAATTTCCCTCTCAAGAAGCTGTTTGTGGGGGGCCCCCCACCGATTAACACTAAGGATGTTTTTCTAATTTCAGTCTTTATGCAAGTCTGCTTTAAAAAGTGCCTTGGCTAATGCAATGTATCTCATGGGAATGACTTCAACAAAGGTAACATTGGCTCATGCCCAGTAACAAGCCTCATTAAAAAACTATAGAATAAACTTTGCCTACAGACATGAGAATAGTAGTATGGATTGCTTTCCTATGTGGAAATGCCTAACCATCAGCAATCAAATTAAGGGTTCATAACTCATTCATGGAGGAACCATCAATTGCTATTAGCCATGGGACCTCCTTTCCAGAGGGAATATAGCTCTCAATACCGGTGGCTGCAGAGAACAGGACTGGAGAAGGGAGAAGGTTTACACCTGAGCTCTGCTTCCAGGGCTTTCAGCGGACCACCTTGGTGTCCATGCAGTTTCTCAAAGGAGCCTGGCATGTCTCATGCTTTCTATTCCTCTCAATTTTGTCTCTGGAGCAGGAACTAGGTTAACATTCTGAGCAGCTGAATAGCCCTCTTGGAATCAAATGTTGTCACATTTGCTTGCTCTCTGCAATGTTGTGATATGCCAGGTCCATGGCTACAGTGGGGCATCTTGGGGCCTGGCCCCCTGACTTACTGCCAAGCCCCCCCCCCCACTTCCCATCCAACCCAGGCACTCCTTTGGGGGGGGTGCAGGAGTGTGTGTGGTGCCCCCTGCCTTATTTATAGACCCCCCCGAATTTAAAAAAATCCCGGCTATGGGCCTGTGATATGCTTCTGTATACCAACATGAAACGATTACATTTCAGCACACTTGTGTGGTACTACTCCTTCCTATTTCTCCCTCACTTGTTACCTCCAAATCATGCAGTCTTGCCTGTTTGCCAGTGGGTTCAACCAATGATTCTCTCCTGGAAGCCTGACCCAGACTGAAGAGAATGATGATGATGATGATGATGATGATGATGATGATGATGATGATGATGATGATGATGTCTTGCCCGTTGTACAGCTAGGATGGGGTACAGTGTGCCACTGTTTACTGTTTGCCCTTGCCATTATTCTTATGTATGTTAAATAAAGTGGCCCTTAGTTTTCCCAACCTTTGGTTTTCTGACTCTTTCTTCCGTCTCGGGGGGAAAATGCTTTATTAGCAAATGGTGGCCTGTATTGGAATGACTGGATAGTAACCCTGTTAGCAGAAACTCTTTCAAATCGCGTGACAGCTATGAATTCATGAGATTATAGTATAAAAGCAATTCAGTTTTAAGTACTTATCTTGAATACTACATGATTTGTTGGACCACCAATTTGGGAACTATTGCTGTTGTTATAATTATTATACTATACAACAATTTTATTATTAATATTACACACTGTTGTTATTGTTATTGACAATAATAAAAGTGTTCTAAAAAGAAAACTAATAGAAGATGGAATAAGTTAATTAGATTCCGAGTTAGAAAAAAACATGCACATAGGTATGCATATTAAATGATGGTTCCAACAGATCCTAGCATGGGGCCATCACATGCCAGGGCCAAAGAGGGGACTGGAGCAGCTGATGGTTCAGGGGTCATGGGCCAAGACATGTACATTACTTTGTTGAGAATATGTATGTATGCACATGCTGTCAAGTTGCAACCAACTTATGGTGACTTCAACAAGGCCCTTTCAAGGCATGTGAGAGGCAGAAGTGCTTTTTCATTGCCTTCAACTGCAGAGTCTTCCTTGGTGGTCCCCCAATCAATTACCAGCCCTTCTTCACTTCCAAGATCTGGTGAGAAAGGGCTATGCCACCTTCTTTCCCTTATTGAGAATGGGTTACACTATTGAAGTAAGCATGAAAGCTAATAATGGTTGACATATACCAGTGGAAGGTTGGCTTGGATTCTCAATTTTTGTCTTGCCTGTTTTGAATTTCTTTCCTGTGCCTAAGATTCTTTCAAGCAATCTGCCTCTTTTCAATGAGTCACTGTTCAGGACCACTAAATCCCTTGAACATTTTTAGATATATTTTAAAATGTCCCACAAAACATCAAATTATTGATCATTGAGGATTGTTAGAGAAATGATAAAGACTCCCCAACTGCAATTTAGCATATTTATTCCAAGTGAAAAGAGACAAACACAAGACAGATTGTATAGTGAGAATCACTTCACAAACACACACAAACCCAGTTTAAAATACAGGACATATACAGAACAGAAAAATACAGTTTTCCTAGCTTTCAAAAAAAAAAGTGGAGGAATTCAGAAGACTTAGTTCCTGCCCCCAGGAATGTACGTGGAAAATCACTAAGGGCTTTTCTTTCTTGTTTTTTGAGGGGGTTGCTTTTTGTTTTACTCCTACAAGTCCAGTTTATTGCTTTTCTTGGGAAGTCCTATAGAGACAGGGTCTCATCCCAATTTACTCATGCAGCTACAGAAAGCAATGGTAACAGCAGTTGTTCATAAAACAATACATTAAAATGTACGGCTTAACATGTTGAACTGCCACAAGTTCAGTTGATTGCTTCTCTTCAGAACTACTATACAGACAGGGTCACATCCCAATTTAATCATGCAAATACAGAAAACAAGATAACAGCAGTTGTTCATAAAACAATACATTAAAATGTACTTCTTAACAAGTTGAGATTTGTCATTTTGCCTGTCTGCATTATCTTTTACCAGCAAATCAGAAAAAACATAGCATTTTTTTAAAAAAACACACACAATAAAATCTTTCTCACTCTGTTTCCATGGGTGCCATTTAGAGAAATCCCCCTCATCAAATGACACATGACTGTTCTTTCCCAGCATTTCTGTCTCTGGCCAGTCACTAATTATGTATCCCGATTCTGTCAATCAGAAAGAAAGAAATGGTTTTAAGCAGTAGATATTAGGGATGGGCGTGAACCCCCAAAAAGGCGTTCAGTGTGGTTCAGGGTTCAGGACAGCTGAACCGACCCAAAAGGGCCCCACCCAAACCGAGCTGGTC